CTTATACTATATCCACTGTAATTGAAAATAGAATTATTCCCAGTAATGGAGACGCTGCAAGAAAAAGCAAATAAAATCTCCATTTTTTTAATATTTTATCAATGGACTAAACTACTAAACTACTTTTCACAATACTAATACCTACACATATTTGTACGTTGGCATTTTATCAGTAAATTAGTAACAACAATTAGTTAACATTCACACATATCCTTATATATTGCGATTACAAAATCAGAACTTAACAAGAATGCTTGTTTCTATTAGTTAATTAACTCCTTGTTTTAGAAACAAACAATTTTAGTCTTGTACCATTTATATAACTTTTATATTTTATAATTCACGACTGCTATCGTTAAATTTAGTTTGGGAGACTCTTATGAACTAGTTTGAGTTCGTTCGCTCGCGACTCGAGTCAGAGACAGGCAGTACGTAATCCAACCTTTAGGCTTAGAAGTATTATTTCCCGCAAAAATGTGTTATAATTTTTTTTTTAATATTTTACATTGTAGCATACGAACCAGCGATCTAAAATTCGGATGATCTGTGAACTATTATACATAGTTCGCGTAGTTCGTCTTTGGAAGTGCTCTTCTGAATTAGTTTGTTGAACAACTCAGTTCAATCAATTCCTATTATATAATGTTACAACCGGTTCTGCAGTATACGTTACAAAAGTTATTTAAGCATTTCTATGTTACTTTTCGCCATAATGGCATATAATAGCGACATCATAAAGTAAATTCCACAAAATAATGTTGTAGACATCAACTTTATTTTTATTACGAGATCGATTCGCCCGCAAGAAAGTTTCGACGAAACCCTTCTTTATGGCCGTTGTTTATTTTGAAAGGGTGCGTTGGCCGGTAATAACATTTGCTAAGAGTAAAGAGTTTATTTAATTTTCAGTAAACGACCTGTGCGTGTAGACACGTGCCAGTTTTGCCGTGAAATTAAGGATAATCTTTTATGTATACAAAATCTGATAAAATTAACATGGATGTAAAAAAACGCGTGCAAAAGGGATTGTTGCCATAAGCAGCTAATTATTTAATAACTCTGTGGAAAGGGTTACCTGTTTTACATTCATGAGGATATCTCTACTAAAATTATAAAGAAGAATTATTTAGTTTTTTTATTTATTTTAATAGATAAACTCTAAAAATGTATACTTGTTTGATTTTAAGTCCCTTAGCCAGTACCGATTAAAACAGCTGCAGCCGAAAAGAAATGAAAATCATTTAGTAATTACTTTATACAGCGTCATTGTACTTGACATCTATCGCCTATAAGAAATGTAATTCATCAAAAAAATGTAAAAAGTTTTATTCATTTTTCATAAAATTCGTTATTTGTTAAGGTCGGGATTAATGGGATTCAAAAGCAGCTTTGTCTTGTCTACTCCACTGATGTTTAATTGTAATCTGTATTATGTCGGGAATAATGCTATTAATATTTAATTATCAGAGTATAGAGAAATAACACATTTAATCTTAATGACGATGAATAATTACTTATAGCCTTTCTTACATATACAGTTGGTATAATAGTAAGTACTTAGGTAGTCCAAATAGTAGTATTATATACTATAAGCAATATTTTATTAAAGCTAAATGTATGGGCGTGCCGTTTTAATATTTAATTATTGTTGTATATTCATAATTTAAGAGCGACGCTCTTGTCGGTGGACTCTTCCCAATTTCCATGATCTTTCATCATTCTCTTTAAACGTTCATACTCTCATCACTCCAATTCAGTCTTTGAATTGCTTGATATAGCTGGTTTGGCCTTGGTCTTTCTCTACTTCTCTTTCCTTTCTTTCCGTATCAAGTGTCCTAATATTTTTCCTGGTCTATTTTGCCATAGGTAGTATCAATATCTGCCTCTTTACATTCACTCTGTTTAATACTTCTTCATTTCTTACTTTATCTTTACAGTTAATTCTTTCCATCCTTATTCATATTATCTATCAATAAATCATAAATATTCATAATATGTTATGTTTTTATATTTTCATATACGTCTATATGTGTGTTCATATTTTTTTTATACTATTGTGTTATATAACTAATTAATTTCCTAAAATAATAAGTACTATTTTGGTTAGTTCCATTATTATATAAATCACAATTAATATAAAAAAAGGTCTATGAAATTCAGCATTTCATATATATATATGAAAATTCATATATAGATAAATATTATTATTGTAGTCAGTATATGCTACTTTTCATTAGGAAGATAAGATTATGTAAGATGTAATACGATTTCGCGAAAATGTGTTACATCTATTTCAGATTATCAAGATGCTTTCATAGTCAAATTCCTCGTGCGATTTCAAGACACAACATTGTTATATAGCGTATAATTTAGATGAAAGGAAGAATTTTAGATTACCCACTTACTGGATAAATTTCACTTCGAAATAGATATTTACTTACAGATAGGTTGAGCCATATTTACTTACAAGATGGGAGTATGTAAGCGAATTTACTATATCTTATTTGTATTTAGATTACGTTTAATATATTTAAGAACTCTGCAAGTATTTTCATTTCAATTATCCTATTTATAGTTTTTTGCCTTTATAAATAAAATTATAAATGCTACGATTTTTACCCAATGGTTGGCTGGTAGAGAATGTCATATGGTATTATGTACGCCAATCGTACATTTATTTAAAATAGTGCAATAAAGAATAAATAAATAAATATTATTTTATGTAATTGAAATGGCAAATAATTATCATCCTGTAATTATTCAAATTAATGCTTTATCAGTTTTATCATCCTTTAACCGATACACAGTTTACAACGAGGTTGAAATAGGTGTCTGAGGTCTTGTCTTTAGACGCAGATTACTATTTACAATATCCATTTTTTCTAAAACTGCTAATCGAATAAAGAGGATTATTACTATCTGTAATAATACAAATTTTCAGGAAAGGTACAACTATATTAGAACAAATACAGATTAAGTCAAACTGTTTAAAATCAGGGCCGGTGAAACCGCTTGTCTTTGCTCCACAAATAAATATAGCTGAAGACACACATTATAAATCTTAAAAAAAAATCGCGTTTTTGTGTAGGGAAACAAGGTTAGGTTTTATCTTCTTTTATCTTCATTGTCAGGTAACAGGGAGTACTAAAATAAGCAATAACTACCGACATTATTAAACACAGTTATTTTTATTTAAAGTATGTCCAATATTATTGCATCGAAATCGGTTTCCCAAAGGTCTACTTTATATAGATAGTAAAAAACGAATATGTAAGATTATAAAAATATTCATCAAAGTTGCTTCATTTCTGAAAATACAGCGTAACTTACACATAACATACAGTCGAATTTTGAACGAAAAATGAAGCTTCTTAAAGCTCGAGCGGAGCTTATATTGACTATTGGTACCCGTTGAAGTTTGTGTACAGTGACGATGTTTGTACAAATTCTGAGCTTGAAATTCTAATGCAGATATATCCAGTATTGCATTCGCGATGTTCTAATGCTTCGTATTGCAGGATACGTTATCAACATCTATGCTGAATCTCTGTTGAATCTAATCCTATTAAGTGTTCTATACCGACTAAAACGCATAATATGTATAATAGATGAGGATTTGTACGAGAATAATCTATTCACTTCATAGGAAAATATATTGAATATATCTCCAAATGTTAGTCATTATTATATAGTATAAAACAAAGTCGTTGTCGCTGTCTGTCCGTCCGTATGTATGCTTAAATCTTTAAAACTACGCGAGGGATTTTGAAGAGGTTTATTTTAATGGTTAGAGTGATTCAAGAGGAAGTTTGTATATTAATATGGAAGGGATAATATGGAAGGTTTATATGTATATATATTATATATTAAAAGTAGGTTATATAATAATACATGTACACCCGAGCGGAGCCGGGGCGAATAACTAGTAGACAATAAAATTAAGTAATCTTATTTAATGTGTTTTTAGAAGATGTTTCTCAAGAGCAGGATATATTGGCATGGTTTTATGTACCAAATTTTAATATTTTTTATTTATATTTGCTCTCTTTTAATACATCCAATTAAAATCTATCTAGAATACAACTAAAATATTCACTATATAATCTCCATATATCTGAAAATATTTTGAATCTTTATGAACATGTGTCTTGAATGGGACTTGAATGGGTCATGAAAATATTTAAACTTATTCAGTCAATTCATCCTCTAGGATTCAATCTCTAGATTGTTGACATAATTACATACAGATTATTTGCTTGTATTTGATCGTTTGGAATCTATAGCATAATAAATACGTAATGAAATTACCTACAAGTATTAGTCCGTAATTCTGTGTAGTTAGGCAAATTAGAACCAGACTATTGAATGGCTCCGGCTTTTCAATATAAGTATACTCTCTATTACCTAGACTTACGATTGGCTTTGTTCTGCGGAGCTATTCAATAGAAAGCTTACAGCGTCATTTCTTACATTAGAACTGTAGCTTTCAAAGAAGGTTTTATCCATTTCGCGCGGTCCAACTAGTTTCAAAGCAAACTGTGCTAGAGATTTTTGTCAGTGTATACAATTGAGTATTGAGTTACTTTCAGAGGTTTAGCACTGATTTATTATAATTGTAGATAAAGTAAGTAATTAAAAGGAAAACGAACAATAAAAATTGCAAAAAACCTTATAGCGTTTTTATTGACCGAATAAAGGGAACAAACCGGAACAATTCACATTAGATTATCAAAGACACACCTATTAACTTATTAAATGTGATAGCTGCAGTTCATACCTATTGCAAAGTTATCTGCGCAAATAAAAAAACATATTTAAGATTTAATTGGTAGTTGCAATAGAAGACTTCGCCCTTGCCGGTCCCAAGCCCGGATGTGAAAGAAGGAGGGTAGGTAGAGAGACGGTGACACTACCGTAATTCCGTCAACGCCGAGCCACGGGCGGCGGTAAACTAACCCGAATTGGAGAGCAGCAGCCTTGAGGAGTTAAATGACCTCAAAATGGACGCATACACCAAGACGCCTTGCCAGCGCGGTGTAATTACGGCTAACAAACCTTGTATAATCATGATGACCACAAAGAAATGGCCCCTAGTCCCCAGCGGTTGTACTATTCCTGGCTACGGCAGCAGCTACGGTTCCGGTGCAACAAGGGGTGCGAAGAATCTCTGGAAGAGACAGAGCTGCCACACCCAAATGAATATAGCAACGTTTAACACCCGGACTCTGAGACTGCAAGCGAAATTGGAAGAACTGGAAAAAGACTTGGAACAAGTGAATTGGGACATTCTAGGATTATCAGAAGTGAAACGGAAGGGAGAGGACAAACTGAAACTACAATCCGGTAATGTGTTGTTCTATACAGGAGACAGTAACTCAGCAATTGGAAGCGTGGGATTTCTGATACACAGAAGAATTGTTGGACACGTCACAGAGATGCGCAGCATATCACCACGTGTCGCCTACATCGTCTTGTCTATCAACAAGAGATATTCACTGAGAATTGTACAAGGCTATGCTCCAACATCAGGACACTCGGATGTAGAAAGTGAATTATTTTACGAAGACGTAGATAAAGCCCTATCACAAGGCCCGAGAACTCAGTTCAACATTATTATGGGAGACTTTAATGCGAGACTGGGATGTAGAACAATAGGAGAAGTTAGCGTAGGGCCATTCGGCTATGGAACGAGGAACAGACGTGGCCAAGCCTTTGCCAACTTCTTAGAAGAAAGACGACTCTACGCCATGAATACGTTTTTCGTGAAAAATGCGAAGCGAAAATGGACTTGGGCCAGTCCTGATGGGAAGACAAAGAGCGAATATGACTATATCTGCACGGATAATAAACAGATAGTCACGGACGTTACAGTAATTAAAAAGCTGAAGATGAGCGATCACCGGCTTGTCAGAAGTACCATCAGGATTGATACACGCTTAGAAAGAAAGAAGCTTCTAAGAAATCCGCTGGCAAACCTTCACATACCTCAGGGCGTGAATAAAGAATACAAGCAAAAACTAGCCCAAGGTCTGAAGAGACCTTTGATAGACTGCTTTGAGCAGTCCTTAGATGACAAATACAATTATGAATACTATCTCCAACATAGCTAGCGAAGTATTCATACGGAAAACACGCAGCAAAAACCAGTTATCACCTGAAACCGAGCAAATGCTGGATATACGCAGAACTCTTAGCTCCGACAAATACAACACCCTTGAACACCGTGAACTAAACAAGAAAATATCAAAAGCAGTAAGGAGAGATATAAGGAAGCGAAATACTGAGAGGATCCAGCATAATCGAGAAACACCGTGGACCTAAGATATTTAACAGAGCTATCACCACCGGTAGCAGCATGCTCACAGAATTGGAGAATGACAAAGGAGAGATAGTCCAAGGAAAAGCCATGGCAGATACAATCACCGATTTCTACAAGAAGCTGTACACGTCGCATGCCAGCAAGCCAGAAAGGTCTGATACTGATGCTGTTGGAAGGGCTCCTCTAGTAAAACACTATACGGAAGAGATCCCAGACATCAGTATGCGGGAAATACGGCAGGCCTTGAGGAAGCTGAAGCAGTACAAGGCACCAGGAGAAGACGGTATAACTACAGAACTGTTGAAAGCTGGTGGTAAACCCATATTGCAGGAACTACGCATGCTCTTCAACGAGGTTCTCTTCACGGGCATACTGCCTAAGGCATGGAATAACTGTATAGTCGTCCTATTTCACAAGAAAGGAGTTAAAACAAACCTGAAGAACTACCGTCCAATAGCACTTCTTAGCCAGGTATATACAGTATTCTCTCGAATTCTTACTTCGAGAATGACAAGGAAGCTAGACGACCACCAACCTATAGAGCAGGCGGGCTTCAGAAGTGGCTACAATACGATGGATCATATATTCACAGTTAGGCAAGTGATACAGAAAACAAGAGAATATAACCGACCACTCTACCTTGCTTTTGTGGATTATGAGAAGGCGTTTGACTCTGTGGAACATTGGGCAGTGTTCGACTCCCTTCAGCGTTGTCAAATAGACTACAGATATGTCACATTGCTGAAAAATCTATATAAATCAGCAACCATGACTGTGCGATTAAAAGATCACGAAGCCAAGGTCGAATTAAAGAGAGGCGTGAGACAAGACGTGATTTTGCCCAAACTCTTCACTAACGCACTGGAAGACCTTTTCAAGTTACTGGATTGGACAGGTATGGGCCTAAACATCGACGGTCAATACCTAAACCACCTCCGTTTCGCCGACGATATTGTGCTGTTGGCAGAAAACCCAGAAGACTTAGCTAAAATGCTCGGTAGCCTAAGTGAAGTATCTGGTCGAGTAGGCCTAAAGATGAATCTGCAAAAGACTAAGTGGATGGGTCCCTCAAACACGATATCGGTTTCAATTCAGGGAACCACCTTAGAACACGTGGAAGAATACATCTATCTAGGCCAGAAAGTCCGACTAGATACAGAGTCCTTGGATGCAGAGTTAGATAGGCGAATTCAGCTAGGATGGGGCGCTTTTGGGAAACTAAGAGATGTTTTTAAATCCAAGATCCCGCAAACTTTAAAAACAAAGCTATATAACCAATGCGTTCTCCCAGTGATAACATACGCTTGCGAAACGTGGACTCTAACCGCCGAAAGGGTCAACAAGCTACAAGTCACCCAAAGAGCAATGGAGCGATCTATGCTCGGTATCTCCCTACGAGACAGACTGCGGAATACTGAGATCAGAAGGCGCACTGGAGTTACCGACATCATCCAAAGAATCGCGCAGCTAAAGTGGCGTTAGGCTGGTCATGTATGCCGAAGCAAAGACAACAGATGGACATACAGATCCTTAATGTGGCGACCTAGGATGGGAAGCAGAAGCGTAGGCAGACCAACTGCCAGATGGTCCGATGATATCAGGAAGACGGCAGGACCGACCTGGACAAGACACGCCACAGACAGACTGAAGTGGAAAATTATGCAAGAGGCATACGTCCAGCAGTGGACAAATATATGCTGAAAGAGAATAGAAGACTTTGATAAATATCGTTAACGATTCGGGCACTCTAACGGTAGGCGGTAAATGAACTGAAATTAGTGAACTGATTTACATATTACTAACATTAATTTGAATGAATAAATCTGATTATCACAATGAAACAGAATTAACTAATCCATGTGACGATAGGAAGCAAAAAGATATAATTATAGTTACAGTTTCTACCGTCTTATAGATTATGAGGAACTGAGATCCGACCGTTTTATAATAACGCAAGTTTTTTATATTGTGTTCATTGAATATAACATGCACTATTTATTTTCCAATTATTAGGTAATATAGATGATACTGTGTTGAATTGACTGGAAGAGATATTTTAGGTTTAAATCCACTTTTGCTTACATAGTCTTTTATTAAATGGTTTACTGTAATCTTGAAATAATAATTATTTATATAAATATATAAATAAATATAATACGATACAAGTATAGATTTCATTTTCGCTGTGCACCTAACTCCATACATATATGGTAAAGAGATAAATACATAAGACATATAAGGTTTAAAACTATAAATATAAAAGATACAATAGAAATACATTCTCATATTTTCAGTTAAAACGAATATACACAAGGGAGAGTGTCATGAAGATGGTGACAAAGAAACACGTTATCGTTCATTCATTAACGAAAATGTTATTAATTACAAGTAGGTGACGTTCGGAGACCGGCGATTCATTACGTCTGGAAAGAAGATTAATTGCGGATGGACCTCATAATAATTACCCAGGAATTACTCCTCACTTACTGTGGCTCGATGGCGGGAATCCTTCATAATTTGCAATAATATTGTGTTGGATATTCTTGTGTTTTGTTATTAATTAGACAGTCATTTGTTCGTGTCTTATTTTTTATCTGCCTACTACAGAAAAAAAGAACGACTTTTTCGAATTGATTTATAATATTGTTAGCTAATACTATGTACTATATAATCTGTCCTAATACTAAGAAAAATCTTTCTTATACATATCTTTCTTACTCTTGTTTATTTTTACACTAACATATTTATAACTATGTACTTATGGAATTTAATGAACTATGTTTACGTTTTGCGCGAGATTCATTACAAATTAATTAGAAGTCTTATTCAGAATGAGAACCTATACGAAAACATAGATGTTCATTAAGTTACCGTACATAGTAACAAAAATATAAATTCTATTATAATTCGAAACAGCAGTCAGCAGTCAGATTGTCATATCTCTCTTCGTTTTTATTAATGATATATATGGTGACACCTATATTTTACAGTGCATACTTATATTTTAACTAAATAAATAACAGGGGATAGAAACTAAACAAATCGTTGGATCAGTTTACCCTCGCTCGGATTAATTTGTTTTTTAAGACCATACGAGTAAATAGTATAAGTACGGGTTTATAAATTAGAAAATCTATAATTAATTCTGATAAACTATATCTCCCAAAGTATTTATAACAGTATCGAAAATAGTTTTAGATAATTTTACAATAATTTATTAATATTAATACTTAGATTTGAATAGTAATAGGAAAATACAAGATAAAACAAATTGAATTTGAAGATTTCATTATAATTTTTATTTTTAGTCGAGCCAGTAAGTGCCTATGTACATATCACGAAATTCTGAAAGCCGTCCAGAAATGAAATCCTTTTTTCTTTTCGTTTTTATGATTTTGAAATCATAAAAGTATTGGCTAAAGCTAACAGATCCCTTGAAAGTGTTTCCGTGTTTTTTCACCCTGAGCTATGACACTCGCTGACGGCTAAGTAAATCCTATAAAATATTAGAACATTATTCTAATAACACTTTACTCAATTTCAATTTAGCAAATCTCGATGACTGATCTTGAATAGCTGATAATCTCATTCCACGAGAAAAAAATTATGGAGATTTTAGTAAATCTAATTCACAAAATGAAATGCCACCACTAATAGAATTGAAGCCAAATGGATTAAAAGTATTTAAGGCACGTTCAAGCTTTTATTAAATAATTTGATTAATTATACAATTATACAATGTTAGGTAGAATTCTTTTCACTAAAGTCAATTTATATTTTCAACTGAATCTATATATTATTTTAATAATAGAATTATTAAAATAGAGATACATAAACATAACCCTATTTTAACAATTTTTTTTATTCATTTACAAAATAAAAGTCACATGATTTTTACATTTACAAAATTGGAGATTATAAAGAGTAAACTCATTGAACTGTTATGTGTCGTAAACAACATACTCATAAAAATAAAATGAAATTAGTAACCTCCTTTTTTAAGTTATTTGGTAAAAAACGTTCATTTATGTTCGTAATAATACAATTGTTATCATTGAAAACATAAATCTTTATTAAACAAGCTAAGGCTTTCAATCTAATGGAGTATCAAAATAGCTTCGGGACTGTTAATTAAAGATAAGACATCGTTTCAATCAAAGGATAATAAAGGATATAAATATAATAAACAGCTTTTAAGATATCTTTATTGTATAAAAATGTTATAATTATACATTGCTTACAGAATGAATTGTATAATTAGTGTTGGAGATTAAGTATGTATAAATATATGAAATGTCAAGTATGTAATAACAATTTACATATTTTAATTTTTTAAATGGCATGAAGATCAACAGTCATTATTGCGACTTAATAATATATTGGAATTCCTGGATGTATATAAAAATAATTATAAAGTTTTTATACAGTCTACGAGGGAGTAAACGAGTTTGCGGGCACACCTCAGGGTAAATTATTACCGTGGTCCACAACACCTAGGAAATTGCAGGTAATTTAGCTGGACTTTTATGTTGAAATAAAACGTTTTTTAAGGTTTACATTCAAATTATCAAAGAATTCGTGTCGGTTCGGATATACCACTGGTGGGATTTGTATCCACAATGTACTTGTGCGTGGCAAGAAGTTTAAAACACGGTGGAGGATTGCCATTCGTGCCATGCCATGCCATAGGTGTTCAGGTCGTTATTGTTGTCATCCTAATAAGTTAAGAGATATGGTGTGTTTATAAAGTTTAATATATTTAAAGAGTATGTCACCCAAACATTAAATATT